GTTGAACAGCAGCGGGGCCAGGTTGCATCCCTGTCGGAGACCTTAGCCCAAGTCGAACCATTCCAAGTAGTGCCCGTCGTCCGTTCTGACGCGCGCCCTCATGCCCTCGTGGAAATGGCGAATGACCGCCAGCATCTTGGGGGGCACGCCGAAGCGTCGGAGCACGTCCCACAGTAGGTCTCGGTCCACCGAATCGTATGCCTTGGTGAGGTCGACGAAGCACGCGAACACCGCAGTACTCTTCTTCCTCGCGAGCTCATGGAGCCGCTGGATGGCGAACAGCATGTCGAGCGTCGACCGGTGTGGGCGGAAACCGCTCTGCTCCTCCGGGAGGATGCCCTCTCGCTCGCAGTAGTGGCTCAGTCGTGTAGCGACGACCTTAAGCAGCACCTTGCCGGCGTGTGCGACGAGCGAGATGCCCCGGTAGTTGCCGCACTCCATCGTGTCCCCCTTCTTGAACAGCACTTTGATGGTGGGGAATTTGCGGAGGAGACCTTGATCTCCGTCCAGGAAAAGTGTGCGCTTGTGAAGGGGCCGTTCGCTCTTCGCTTGATTTTTGAAGCTTGGAAACGAGAAACGAGAGCTTGTGTTCGAAATTCAAAGAAGCTTGGAGCTCGTCGCAACTCCGAAAAGCCTTCAAGGTAGGTGTTAAAGAGTCTTTCTCAACAATGAAACATTACATCTCACATACGCATCCAGAGTCAGCGATGCTTTCCACTGGTCAAACTGGTGGGAGATTGCGTCGACACACTACTGTAGTAGACTGCGTTGGTTACACAACCCTGGAGTGTTGCCTGTGGTGTGTTTGAAAGAAAACGACAGACAGAAGCAAGTTGACCTTCCAGCGTCGAAATTCAATTCATGTCTACGTCACTGCTGTCAACTCGTTCCGAAACAAGAGAACTACGTTCGGTCCTGACGAGTTCCGACAACTGTATGTCCAATTCCTGGTTGAAGTCGGGATGGTTGTTGTTGTTTTCTGCACTTTAAACTCGTGTCAGATGCTAATCCCAATAGTCTAGCAGAGACTCGGTCCGTGGTCACGAAAGTGCTAGAGCCATCAGAAGATCTAAAGAACAAGCACACTATTAGCAAGAAATGTAGGAAACACGAAATCACCAAGGTGTCAGGTTTTCCTCGGTTTCTCAGACACAGTGTCAGAGCGAAAAAGGAAAAACATCCTCTCTCAGCGAGGGAATGGATGCGCCTGGAGACAAGGCAGTTATCGGTGTCTCTGGCCTTTGGAAAGAATCTTGCACCACTGTTGCATGGCTACCGTATCAGGCCGGGAGATGGCTGCACCCCCCAGACCGACTTTCGAAGCCCGATTGCTCCAAAACCAAGGGGTTACGGACAGACCCTGAAACATCCACGGAAAGCTCCCGACGAGATGGTTCCAAAACCACCCGTGTTTGGTGCTGGCGCAATATTGGTCGCGGGGTGTAGTCGAGCTTTGAACATGGGTCTAAATATGAGGGGTGCTACCTCTCCGCCCTTCACGGTGGTATATACCACGGTACGGTATACGGTACGGTACAGACAATCTTGGTTGTGGAGCAACCGAGCTTTGGAAATCGGTCTAGGAGGGTTGCCAACTCTCCGCCACTTACGGTATTTGGCCTGGAAAGGGTTTTTGCTGTGCCTCTTGGTGCAGGGGAGTTTCGGGGGAAAACGATATTGAGCATTGACCACGCCTACATGTGCCCGCCTCTCCATTTTGAATTAAACCGGCCAGCTGTTCCGGCTCGCCTTATGCTCCAGATGTGTCGCCGCACACACACGACAATGCACCAGCAACGACAACAACAGAAACAACAACAACAAGTTTTATCTCCGCCCCACGTTGTCCTGAAGTACAACATAGAAGTCCTCCTCAGTTTCCCACCGGTTGGTGTCTTGTCTCTTTCTCGGATCGCAGGCGCGAGCGGGGTTGGTGTCGGGGTTCTCGTGCGGTAGCGTGCATCACGTAAAAGGTGCGAATGGCGTTCTTGGCTTCTGCTGTTGTAACCCCCCGCGATCTGCGGTGCTGGACTTGCCGCAGTAGCGCCGCCGCATGGCCCGTGGCAAGTATGCCGATGAGGTTATACCCGCGACACGGAGCCACCCACATGTATGCTCGGAATCCACGATACGTTTGCTCCCGGTGTGTGATTCGCCGGTTAGCTCAGGGCGGGGCGTTTGTGCAACAAGAAAGTCGGCTAAGAAGGGAAAGAGGTTTGCTCACCGACTGTGTGATTCGTACCTGCACACCTAGACGGCGGCATCGCAAGCAGTAGCCTTCGCGACGATGTCGAGAGTTTAGGAATAGGAATCCCCCCCTCTCCATTTCATAGTAGACTTATGGTACTATACATGCTCGCAAAGGCGGTCTGTCCAAGCGGACTGCGGTTGACTGCGCGGCACAACGGAGATTGACTGCCCGTTGTCCTGGGGAACCCCTCCATGTCGCCCCTCCGATTGGTACAGCCCAGAATACCTCAAAAGTAGGGCCGGTGCTGCCTGCTTCCCGCTCCTGCCGCGATGCCGCAACCTGCTTCGTTGCACGTTTCCGCTGACAATCTTGTCGGCAGGGCTCCAGCGAGCTCTCGTGAGAGCTTTGCCGGGCGCGGCGGCGGCGGCGCGAATACCGGCACGATGGCCACCCGCAGCCAACCCTCTGCCTAGACACGTCCGACCATCGGTATCGCCGCTGGGGGGGAGTAGCGCCTCCGATCTCATCTCGCGGGACGGGCACGGGGGGGTGGGAGGGGGATGGAGAGGGCGGGGGGCGGCCCTGAAGAGGGTGAGAGGGGGGGGAGACGGGGCTGACTGGCCGTTACGTTCTTCCTCGGGGGTTTCGTCGCCGGCAGGAGGAAGGGACACGACGGAAGATGTTGCCGGTGAAACGGAGGTCGGGGGTGACGGGCTTAGCGGCGGCAGCGGTGGCGGCGGCGACGGTGGCGGGAGCGTCAGCAAGAAGAAACAGAGCCTGTTCAAGACGCTGTGGGAGTTTTCGCGGCCGCATACGATGGTGAGGGAAATGGCAGAGTACTATCTCGTCCCCGCTTTGAGGGCACCACAATTTAGGACTCTCCTCGCTACAACACGAAGGGCGCGATTTTTCTGCGGGAAACATGGTGCCCCGCATGTAGGATTTATAGGGAGGGGTAAAGTTCTTCAGGTCATTTTTCCGCTGAAAGGACACTTGCTTTGAGCAAAATGAAGATAGTCTTTTTAACGCGAAGACGACTCAATTGTGTCGCAAGGATCTCGAACCAGGTCTTGCGAGGTCGAAAGTCTGGGTTGACTCATGGCGGCGAGGCTCATGAGCCCCGCCCCTGGTCATCGTTGAGCTTGCCAGACATCAACAATATCTTTTGCGAAAACAGCACTGTGGTGCACGTCTCACCACGCAAAATGAGGGCACTGTCACCATATTAAAATAGGACGAAAACAACCACAACTCCTGGTGGGCGCTTGCAGCTGCTTCCGGAACGCTAACGCCTTAACCAAGCATCACCCACCGCTTGTGCATGTCCCGTCCCTTGGTTCGGATTCGGGTTGTCTGCGGGTCGTTGCTCCGCCAGATCGGGACAGCTGTCGCAATACCCGCCATCGGGGTGTTCGCGGGGCCCCCAGGTTTGTCTTGGCGTTTGTGTGGTGGGGGGTTCGTGGACTGCTGTGTATTGGGGGGGGAGTACTCGCAAGTCGGTGGTGACTCTGATGCTGCGGGGCGGGCGGGGGGTGTTTCCTGTTGGCATCGACCGCGCTTACCGGCTGACCAATGAACAAGACGCCAGTCTCCGTGTGCCTGAAAACAGAAAGTGTTCACAAACGCCACGTGATCGAAACTGGGAATCGGTGAGGAGACCCCGGACGAAAATGAGAAACGGAGGCAACCAAAAGAATACAGGGGGGTGTTTGTGGGAGCGTGTGTCCGTCCCACCTATCCTCGCGCCGCTACACCCCTGCCGTTGTACGTGTTTGACGTATCGTACTACTCTACCACCCACGGTCAAGTAGGAGGAACATCACACAGGAGCTTCTGCTTTGCTTTGATGTAGGGTTGCCCAGCTGCCGAGTGTAAGCGTGAATTGTTTGGTTGTATCGGACCTGCTGTGTTTTGCGTTTTTGCCAGACGAGACTTGACGGGGCCGCCACGGCGAGGGGGTGATCGCCGAAATTTTAGCGACACGCATCACCCAACAAGCTCACCGCCAGAGTGCCATCGTTCTTCCCTCGGAGGGCATGATTATGTCACGTTTACCGTAGATGACACAAGATAACACAAGCCCTGGACCGATTCTCGAATCTCGATTTCTCCACAGCAGAACGAGTTACAGCGCGGAAAACGGTGGAGTTGAAGCTGTCTCGTCGAGACCTTTCCGAAAATGCACTGTTTCACTTATGCATCCTCTTCGTCGTGGCGTACTCGAGCTTTGAAGATTGGTCCAGGGGGGTGTGTTACCTTGTGTCATATACGGTACATCCTCCCTTCCCCTGCCCCGACTGCCTCTGTTCGATTTCAGGCGTGCTCCCCGGTCGCCGCTTTTTTTTGTCGATGCTGTGGGCGGTGGTGCCCTCTCTGCTCATCAACGTGTACATCACGGGCCTTAACCAGGTGGGTGCCGTGTGCGGTGTGGGTTGTGTGCGCGTGCTCGATTTGTCCGATTCAGGGCCACTCCTTTGGCACCGCGTATCCTCCGCTCGGTGGCGCCCGCAGCCGTCTTGTGCGACCGCGACCGTTTCGCCGATTCCTTCGTTCGCTCATGTGTCCCCCCAGAACCGAAGTTCAAGAAAGGTTTGAACAGTTGTGTTGCAGTTGACAAAAAATGGAAAATGTACTGGTATTTGCGCGCGCCCCAAAGTTTTGTTAGTTTTGACGTATGAATGCACATGACCGGTGTGGTGGGACTTATCGGGAAATTATCTGGGACGCACATCCGCCGGGGGTCACACTGAAGAATGACCGAACTTTTTTTTTCTTCCAGCAAGAAACGCATAGCCCCAAATGAACAAGATGCTTGAGGAAGGCGTGGATAACCAAAAAAGCCCGCATTCGTTCACAGTGGTACCTCTTTTCTCCTGGAGTTCCGCCTGTGATGGGATGTTGCTTTTTTACCCGCGGGCGCGCCCGCTTGGCCAATCAGATCACGGACGTGGAGATCGACAAGGTCAACAAGCCGTACCTGCCGATTCCCGCAGGGAACCTCACGTCGCGGGCGGCGAAACTGACGGTGACGCTGTGCCTGCTAGCTGGTGCCGTGTTGGGCCTCGCGCCGTGCTCGCTTGGGTCTCCGGGGCTGGCGGTGGGTGGGAGTGGCGTGCGACCGGTAGCGCGGGAGGAGGCGGGGTGGGAGGGGGGATGTTCCGCATTTTTGCTGGCCGTTTTTCCGTGACCCTCGGAACAAATGGGTTTTCTTTGTTCTTGTAACTGAGAGTCCGTGAAAAGTCAAACTTTGAAAACGTGCGATGAAATCTACGATGAAATCTACCATGAAATTCACGATGAAATCTACACGATGAAGTCTACAATGAAATCTACGATGAAGTCCACGATGAAATCAACGCGATGAAATCTACGAAGGACGGGCTTTGTCGTTCCGGTCAGGGTTAGGATTACTTCCCCCAGTGACCTTCACGGTGTTGCGCACCCGCTGGCGTCTACCTCCTCTACTGCCATCTGAAGTCCGGCAGAGCAGATGAGCCGCCTCAACGGCTCCTCCCATGCCTCAAGAGAGAGGTCAAGACAATCCGACGGGGATTCCGCAGTATGTCGCGGTGGAACCTCATTTATTGCGGTTGGCTCAGACGCCGTTGTGCCTCCAAGTCGGAGTATTTATTTACCCTCCCTCGTTTGCCGCCCCTAACCACCTTCCCCTCCCGCCTGAGTTTCCAAGGCATTGCGTCCACCTCCTCCGTTCCTCGCATGACCGTGCTCTACCCGCGACCATGGCACTCACACGTGCCCCCCCCCCCTCTCTCTCCCTCCCTCTCGTTGTCACTCTCTCTATCTCTCTCTCGCGCTCTCTCTCTCCGCGAAAACGGAAATTCCATCACAACCTACCTGGTTTTCCGGTATCCTTTCCGGTTTGTTCTGCAGCTGACAGTGGTCCTCTCGGTTCTGATTGGAACCGTCTACTCGCTCCCCCCGCTTCGCCTTAAGGTGGGTCACTCTTCGGATCCAATCCGATAGGATGGGATAGATACGAGCTGAGGTCGTGCACTGCCTGAACTTTTTTTTTTTTAATCCTTGATGCATTGGAGCTGATTTTATGGTGGACTTTCCCATTTTTTTTTTCGATTCACGCCGCACTAGAGCTAGGGAGCAGCAACCCGGGGTTGCACTCCAAATTGGCCTACGCTCGAGCTTTGACGCGTGCTGCTGACAGTTCAATAAACGGACAGCGGTAACATCGAAAACCCCAGTTGTTGCTGTGTTGTTGGACGCCCGGAGTTGGCTGTGGCATGCATGGGATGGTTGGACGCTTCGGGGTTGTCGTACAGGTGCAGCTCATGGTTGTCTTCACCTTTCCTCGGGGCTTTGAGGTCCATCACTCCGTAGATCCGATCCGCCCCCTGCCCCCCCCCCCCCCCCCCCCCCCCCCCCCCCCCCCCCCCCC